TAGCAAGTCTATTCACGCTGGTTCCAACAAAACCACAAACCCTGAACAGAATAAATCTGTCAGGAAGTCTTGTATGTTAATGGGACATCCGGCCTGTTCCTTAAGACCACACTCACTTTGCAAAGATAGGCAGCCAAGAAGAGACACGGAGACTCTTGCATGATTGATAAAAAAATATAAAATAAATAAACAAGTAAGTAACGCTGCCTCTCAACCATGCAGAAATGGCCTGGCATCTACATGTGCGACACAGCACTTCAGAGGACAAATCATGCTTCAGATGCTTCCGGGAGGGCTTCCAGTTTGTTACATTTGCGTGACAATCTCTCTTGAGAATACATCACTACAAGTAGTTCTGTTTTCTTGCTGAATTTGTCAGTTTTGAAATGCAAAAGGGGGCCTACAGAATCCAGTTGTAAAGAGTAAACTGGGCATGTTTGAGAGCTCTGCTAATTTCAAGGGCATTCATTAAAATTCTAAAGAAATCACGAATGGCACAGCCCTAACTCTGAGTAGAAACTGCAAGGGGCCAATGCATGAAAAACAGGAAAAAAATTGATTTTCTATGATATAGGAAGAATTTTGCTGATGTTTGAAACTTTAGATTTTGATTTAGATATTTTAAAGTATTGAATTAATTTCTTGCTTTATGATTTCATAGAGCTGCTAGGGGGTTTTACTTTATAATATTTTTCAGAAAGTGCATAATCACCTAAAATAATTCTGGATTGCATAAGAAATGTGTGATACATGCCCAGTCAGTGTGCCACAATCAGATCAGTGTTCCGGAAGTTTCTGGTTGTAGCATAGAGGAATTTACATGAATTTTGAGAAATCTACTCTGAAACGGAGGTAAGAAGTCAGTGTGCAGTTAAAGGCAAAGGGATTGTTCAAGAAGGTTCTTGCCAGAGAAGTTCAGGCAGTAATACGCTGCAGTCGGTGGCTTGTGATTGGGTGTTGGAGAATACACGTATTGGACTAGCAGAGGAGATGAAGTCATGTCAGGTGAGACGCAGCTTGAGCCAGGATGTAGAGCTGAGACACTTTGCTAGTGGAGTGTTTATGTGGTATTCCAGGAAGAAAGCCCATACCAGACTGGTTGGCGCCCAAACAGCACTTATTATTGTATCTAACCAGATAGGTCTGTGGGTGGGCTCTGTCCTGGGTGGTAGGTAGATAGAACACTCATTCAAAGCCAGTTCCCTTCTGTCCTTCACACTCGTCTCGCTGAGTTGTCTCTGACTCCAATATTTGAGAAGCTGTCATCTGGAAAACTGGTACTCATCGTGAAGGTAGATTTCCAGAGAGAGTTTCAGGGTGTCTATCCTGAACCTGTTAGCTTAGGCTTGTTTCCAGAGGCAAGCCCACCACTTCCCCTCTCATAGCTATGGTAGGGTCACCTTCACTGAAGTCAGTATGGGGGTGGCAAGGTGCCCGAAAAGAAACTAAGGCAGGATTGAGTAAGGTAAGCAGAGCAAAGGGACAATGCTCTAGCAGAGCCACTGTCTGCTAAAGGAACAAAATGGGCCTACTGATGCTATGAATCAGTTCTGAATACTAACAGGAACTTGACACCGGAAAATTTTCCTGTCAGTGCATTGGCAAGGCTGAGTCAAGGATTTAGACTTTATGAGGAATTGTCAATAGACTGGACCTTGGGAAAACTGACCTGTCAGCTACTTACAGGATGTACTGGAGATTGGGTACCCCAGAGGGAAGTAGGTGACCTCTGTTGGAACTCCTCATAATTCAATAGCCACAAGGTTCATAATGTATCTATTGTGTGCTGGGAACTGAGGAGAATTCAGAGAAGGCATCTAAGATTTGATCATGGCCCTTTATATCGTCTCTAAGATGGGTAAGAAAACAGTCATGATCTATGCAGGACACATAGTACACGCACTACATACCACATCAGTGTGGGAATGGGGATGGACAAACCTCCTAAAACGAACCACAGTCCCCAGAGCTAGAAACAGAATTACTGGGTCTCAGGGCACAGAGGCTTATGGGAAAAAAAAATCTCTATGTATCCTTTGTTTGCAGCCATTGATAAATATTACAGTGACCCAGATGGGCAGGAAATACTCATTTCTGTGGTGAGCACGAGGCTTAGGAAGTCACAGTCCCCCAGATTCAGAGTGGGTTGGACTGGGTGGATGCTGACTTAATGTTCCCCAAGATTTTTTCTGACCATCAGCATGGGGGTCCCTTCAGCATCTGATCTTGGATACTATCTGCAGCTAGGGTCTTCCCCTGCTACTTGATATGAATACAGAGCTGGAGTTAGCGGCGCACACATGGAAACTCTGTTTTAGCCTGTTACAATAGATTACAGAGTAAATGCTTGCTTGGGCCTTGCACAAGAGGCGAGAGTTATATTCTTAGTGTAGTTCATGGGCTAATCCTTCCACATATTGAGCCTCAACCTCAGTTTTATAAAGACAGAACACTGGGCAGACATGCTCTCTGGAGAGCCTCTTCCACTCTGAAGCCTCTAGAAATTCAGTAGAAACTATCATCTGACCCTTCCTCCAGAACAGACAATCACCAATCACCTTTCTAGGAAGTGCCGTGAAATTTGGGAGCTTGTAAGCGAACAGGTTTATCAGTTAGGTGATTATTTAGACCCCACTAATTAAGGAGATAGGCGGGACACGTGGCATTGAGTACTTAGAGCAGTGAAAGGCTACTCTAGGCAGATGAACAAGGAAGGAAGACGACATGACCATCCCAAGAGAGTCTGAAGCAAGGAAGGTTAAACTGAGGAACCCTGTGAGCCCAGGCTGGGCACGAGCACCACCAGCTTCTGTGCCAACTGCATTCTGTTTTTCGGGGGCAGCGTCCCATTTCAGGGGACATACAGCTAATCATAGACGTCCAAGGGACATCAAGACCTAGATGTTTGAAGGCCCCCTGAGAAGTCAACAGGGAGAATCACAGTTCAAATCCATCTCAGTTCAGTCCGCTACTGGGTTGCTTCCTGAGGAGAGGTGCTAGCTAGGCAAATGCACTGAGTCGGGGGAGGGGAAGTCCTCTCAGTCAACTGTGGCTGGGACATGCTTTTGCTTCCCTGGCTTCATTTTAAAGCCTTATCTTGCATCAAGTTACAAAGGCAAAAAGAAGGCGCCTCGCACCTCTGCAGACCCTGGCGGCTTCAAAGCTTTCAGGCGTCCAGTTTTATCTGCAGCGATTCTGTCCTGAGTGAGAAGAGGTCATGTCTGCTCCTTGCAGGGAATAATGACCGAGCCGAATGAATGGGCCACACAGGGCAGTGCACTCCCGGTGTGTCCCTCCCTGTTTGACCGCCCGTGTTTCCCCCATCAGCATTCTGTCCAGGGCCAGCGAGTTTCTCATTCGCAGAAAGGTAGAAACACAACTATATTTTTTATGACCAGGAGACGAGTTTATATTACCCTTGGATTAGCTACAGAATGCTTTTTGTGTCAGACAGACTAAATAGACATCTGTTTTCTACACACACCCAACTCCACACAAACAGAGCTTTCTCCGTTTGCTTTGAAAAGCAAAATACCATGTGTTGTGACTTTACAGTGTTTTAAATAAAGTTAGGAATTTAGGTTGGTGAGGCTGAAGTTGTCATGAAGTCGGTGGGTATGAGACCCAAAACTACACGTACAAGGTCCTTTAAAAATTCAGCGAGGGGCAGAATAAAGGCAGACATTTCGACAGCGGCCATTGGGTCGGGTTTTAACTGTTCTGTGAAGCGAGAAGTGAATTATTAAACTTTATCGCCCTCGTTGGCTCCTAATGCTATTCCTCGGCATGTGGATCGCTTTTAAAGTGGGAACGGCCAGCCTAAGTGAGCCATTTACTGCCTCGGTTCTACACGCTGTCTCTATTTCGCTCTTTATTACTTCATTTTGGAACTTTGATTGCTTTCTTTTAGATCTAAGATTGTTCTAATGCTATTCTGCAATTGTATGAGGGGCTTACTTTTCACTTGGTTCTCAGAACCAGGCTGGCTATAAATTTATCTCAGCTCTTTGAAGAAACCAACAGTAAAATTTCCAGTGGGGGGGAGGGGATCATGGCGGCAGATATCCTCGCAGAGGGAAAGAAAGTGACCTCACTCACAGAGCTGCCTTCAGACTACAGCCCTGTAAAGAGGGACTTTCAGACAAGGCGCCTTTGCCTTCCACTGTGAACTCTTGTTCAGTATTTTTCTTCCGGCTTTGGGCCTGCTCTTCTGCTTTCTCTTAAGGTTTTGCTAGCATGGGCCAGTCCGTCTCCACACCCATTAAATGTGAGATGAAGTCACACTGTGTCCCCATCCTAACATTGTAATAACTTCTGGGGTCACAGCCAGGGAGCACATCCCAGAGGTCGTCTGAGGGTTCCTTGGTAAAATCAGGCATAGAGACAAGAGGTTGGAATACTCAAAGAAGACAAAAAAAAAAAAAAAAGAAAAAAAATAACAAAAACACCTTCACTTTTATGAAAATGGACTTTGTTAAGTGAAATCCATAGGGTGCAGTCATGAGGTTTAATTTCATTCCAAGCCATGTTCCCGTTGAGGCATTGGCTTCCTTAAAATTCACTCCTCCCCTCCCAAGGTTTAGAGATATCCCCTCATCAAGAGACAATAAGATTGTTTAGAGTGAAAATCGCTAACACAGCATGAGGACTTCAGCACCCTTTAGCCTTATTTTCCCTGTGCCCTAAGCTGCCTGTTGGTCAGTATGACCCAAGAGGCTTCCTTACCTGTCATACACAAGGGACTGAAGCCCCTGTTTAATGTGGGGATGGTTCCAGAAGGCACTGGGTGATGGATAGGAAGCTGGTAGCACTGGATGAGTTGCGACTTTCATGACCAGGTCCCTTGACTGCCTCCCCAAGAATGGTGACTGTTGACATAGGTGAGCTATGATGGGCAGGTTGGCTTGACCAGCATACTTTCCAACTGCAAAATATCTAGCGTCTCTCCTGCCATGTCCCCTGGCCTAATTGTCCTCTTTCTCATTTTATGCCCCTGCTAGACCACCGCTCTTGATAAGGAGAGGCAGGTTTTCCGACGAAGACGCAACCAGGATGTGAGGAGCAGATACAAGGCACAGCCAGCTCCACCAGAACTCAACTCGGAATCAGAAGACTACTCTCCCAGCTCCTCTGAGACTGTTCGCTCCCCTAATTCACCCTTTTAATAAGACCCTTTTACTCCAAGCCCTAGCTTAACCCTTTTAAGACTCTGAGATTTCCCCCTCCCCCAAACTTCTGTAAAACAGGTTCATCTGATCTATCTAGCACTCAATGTGTGAACGGCGGAACAGAAAGTATGTTTTGGGTACCTTTGTAGCAAGCTCCCTTTACTGAATGAGAAGGCATGTGGTGTTTGTGACGATGGTAATTTGCTGCTAATAGGGGTCCTTCAAGGGTTAAGGCTAATTTGAATTTTTTTTTTTAAATATAGAAGCAATGAATGTTTTCATCAGTCGAGCTAGGATCTGCAATAGGTAACAGCACCTGTCAGCCCTCCGAGTGCACAGAATTTTCTTTAGAATCCTTGCTGGGTAATTTTCCAGAACCTTGGGTATATTCACACACATTTCTGGGTTTTGTTGCCGACCAAAGGGCGCCGTTAGGACCCTAAAATATCCACACACAAGAAGAGCAGGGAGGATGATCCATCGTGGATCCCTTCTCTGTGGATTTGGAGCACGGCAGGTTTTATAACGTCCGTAGATGCACCCCTCATTCCTCACCGTTTTACAAAGAAGGGACTCCCTTTCCTAAGTAGTAAGCTGGTTAGCTGCAGCGAGTTCTCTGCTTTGATGGGAGGGAATCAGGTTTGTGGCCGCCTCACCCAAGCGATGGACGGTGTCTCCCTGTCTCCATACAAAGATGTGCAGATGACGCCCCTGACATGCTGCTTCCCCATTAGCTGCTGCTAGTGCCAGGCAGACCCTCGGGGAACCACCTAGCCTTGGCTTGTGCTCGGTGAGTTGGGGTCTGTCTGCTCAGAATCAGGAAAGATCTAGAACTACTGGAGAAAAGAGCAATAAATTACCAGGTGCTCTACAGGGCTGGCATTCCAACCAGCGAGAGGACGCAAGGTCCCGTGTTTCCTTCTTCTCAGCTGCTTTTACACGGGACCGTAGCCACCAGTGTGAAACCAACACAGAACTCGAAAGATCTGGGGCGCGAGGGAGCAAGAGGCAGTGCTTTGCAAAGTGGCAGATGAGAAAGAAAGTTCAGTGGGAACACAATCCAAAAGGGTCTAAGGATGGGTTTCAGAGAAATAAGCCGGTCCTATGAGTAGCTCTAGGCACCTGAAAGTCTCCCAGAAGACACTGGAGGCTGAAACTGCCTCTCCCACTCACGATTTTCCTTACTGTAGCTTGGTCTCCAGTCATCCAGGAGAGATGTGTTGCTTTCGTGGTTTCGGGCCAGGGCCTGATTGGGATGCGTTTTCCACCCCTGCTACCCAGTCTGTCTCCCTAGACCTGAGTTTCTTTGGGAGCTGATTGCATCTCAGAATATGGGCTTGTTGTTTCCTGGTTTTTGTGTCCTTGATCCAAAAGGATTCAGGGGTGCCTGCGAGGCCGGACCCAACGCAAATGTTGCTCTAGTGTTTTCTCAGCTTTAACCCAGGAAAGCACAGTGATAGACTTCAGAATGGCTACAAGCGGTCTTTACTTTCTCATTCTTAATTTGAATGTGTTTTAGTGTCTTGAAAGTTACGAACAACCTTTTTATTGTCAGGTCTTTATCTTCGAACTCCACGCTGATCTTCAACTACTGTATTCATACACAGTCTTTATGTTCTATGCATGTATGGACTTTTACATGACAGAATCCCACATTTGCTGGTCTTCCACATTTAAATCAACATCTACTTAGTTTTTTTTTTTGAGAGCCCAGAAATGATAGCACGTAAAAGTACAAAATCGTATAAATCAGCATATTATTTAAATTGCATGTTGGGAGTAGACAGAACACAGACCACCAGGAAGGGTGCTAGTTTGTAGACAGAGTTCATATTGGTGAAGGGCATAGAACTGATCAGAAATCACTACCTTCTCTGGAACAGAAAGGCAAAGCACTCTTATTCTAAGATTAGCAAGCAATGGCATAGCTGAGCCTCAACTCCATGTATGAGACTACAAAATACCCTATGGCCAATAACAGATTGCTACCCTCTCTAAATTCCTGCTTTCCCCCTGGTCATTAACATAGGGCCATAGCATCCAGTGCTACAGGTCCATAGTGAGGGCTCTGGCTTTTGTCTATCATCATTTCGAGGAACTCAAGAGGTTTCCTCATATGCTGCAGAAGGGCAGCTCAGAAGACTTCTGAGCCCATTCGGAAGGAAGATGGCAGCGCACCCCTCTAGAGTTTCGGTGATCTACGCTGAATAAACAGTGGGATCTGACCTGTCAAGTAGAAAGATAGAGCAGGCGGATGGACTGCAGTAATTCAGTTATCTTTCCAGCATTCAGCTACCAAGATCTTAGACATCAGAAGTGTAGCTCAGAGGGCGAACAGACAGACACACGTGAATGACTCTGTGCGCCCAGATTGCTTTGGCTTTAGCCAACACTACATTCTCCCCCCCTCAACATTCTCGGAATAGTTCCAGTTTGAAATGATTAAGTGGTGGTGTTCTTTGAATTTCCATAACAAAATCAACCCTATTTTTCATTTTGTGTATCATAGAACAGCTATGTGCCACGATGACTGTGTATCTCTGTAATTATCCACTTAACCATCACAAGTGTTTACATATTTTTGAGCATTGAATATGACTCTTATGGTGGTAGTCTGGTGATGGGAATTGCCCTTCCTTTACTAACTGGACCAGCCCTGTGGTATTTAAAGGAATCTTTCCATTTGAGAACAGAGTAGTTGAACAACCCTTCTCTCCTTGCTTCCTGTAAGTCAATTCTGTGGATGAGACCCTCTCATATTAATGAATACATTTACCCCTCCGCATTGTAGCAGAAGCCGCTTTCTTCATCATGATCAATAAACGTGTGATTTGTTCTGAACCATTAGAAGGAAAAGTTAAGACCCTCGGTCCCTGGAAATGTTCCGGCCATCCCTTCATCTGACGCACACGTGGTGTATACATATTAACATGAGCGGAGGAGGGAGTGGGGAGCAACAGAATACACTTTGTGTCTTGCCTTCACTGAGATTTCCTACAACCTGCTTAGCTCTCTTATGACTGATGGTTAACAGGTCTGTCAGATACTGTTGAAAGAGCACAGTAGATCGGTGAATGAAGGGCTAAAATTGCAATCCTTTGCCCTCTGAGGCATATTTCAGTTGGAAAAAAAAAGAAAGAAAGAAAGAAAGAAAGAAAGAAAGAAAGGCTCAGAGGGTCACAAGGCTCCCGAATTACCAGGATGCGAGTGTGTTAAATCACGGTTGTTTGCTGGCCAAAGGCATCCGTTAGACAACTCTATCCCCTGTGCCGAAGTGCAGTTGTGCTGAGGGAGAGCTTTCTTCACATTATTGTGTTGCCGCTGGCCCTTCTCTGGGTAAAGCCCTGTCAGCATTTCCAAGATAAACTCCTATTCTGCAAGGTTTTTAATTTGACCATAAAAATGTGCCTGAGGCTCAAGTCTGCTATTCAGGGCCTGTCCTAAAGAGTGGGGGGCACATCTCAGGCCTCTCAACTTCTTCCTGACTCTGGAGAAAAACTCAACATCTGGTACGTTGCCCTCATTGTGATTCCAGAGTTTCAGGGCGCCCCAAGACCCAAGATGGTAGTTGTAACATAATTACTTATTGGACATGCTTTTTAAAAAACTGATCACTTAGCATATATTATAAGATATTTTCTATTATTTGTAAGTCTTTTAAAATTACTGCTTGATTTTTCTTTTTTTTAAGTCTTTCCTTTCTTTGTTTTTCCTTTTATTTGTCAAAAGATTTTTTTTTTAAAGAACTTGAAGTTGATCAGCTCAAAGGTCCACTTTTTTCATGAGCTGCCTGCCACTTCCATTGGTAATTTGGAAAAACAAAAACAAAAACCAAAATACCTCTCTGACCCAACAGAGCTTTGGTTTGAATGCTGCGTGGAGGGTTAGCCACACGCTTCTTTGGAAATCTGGATTTCCGAATTTAGTCATCAGATTTCACGAAGCCACCCTTGTCTGTGGGGAGAGTAGCAGCTAACAGTGAAAGTGCCCCCACAATTAACACTTTTGTCAACTCACATTCGAAGCCAGCATAAAATACCACTTCCTACTCTCGTGTTTAAGGGCAAATAAATCAGGGAAACTTGAGGACATATGAAACATTTGGTGGCTGCAGAAGTACTTCCCAATTGAGCTCTACGGAGCTTTTACACATGGAACAGTTAAGAACTGGGACCCCGGGATGTCAGATGGAAGCTTTGGCTCGTATGTAATTACATACAGATGGGGGAGGGGCTCTGGGCTCTCTCTTCTTTTTTAATCATCTCAAATATGCAGCCCACCAGCCAGTAGCATTAAGGGTCATAAACCAGTGGGAAACAGGAAATCTAAGGTAGAGGTTTAGCATGTCTCTGCTGAGGCCTTTTGGTTTGTTTGCTATTGTTGCTGGCTCTAACAGGAGGCCTCTGTGGTCATTTTTCGGGAAATGAGCATCTAACTGGCAGGTGTTGTGGTCATGCGGTTTGCCCATGGAGACAAATGAGGGATCCGGATTCCCTGATTCCCGTCAAGAAAAGGCTTTCTCTCTCAACTGTACCTGCACATTTCCTCAATATTTTTTTTTTTGGTCAATTAAACTGAGACCCTTAATTTTACTTCAATGTAAAGTTGTATATTTTTAACTGTGACATACTTTATTAATTTAAAGTAATTAGTGCTTAAGCCTTCAGAACTGTTGGTATTAAGAGTAGGATTTTAAGTGGTGTTAAACATCCTAACAAGTTCGTTTCAAGTCAATCAGCTGTAGTCAGGAAGAGACCTTGACTGGTTTTGGGGGGCAACTTCTCACTTGCCCTGAACACTAAATCCTTGGTGTGTTCGATGAATAAATAAAAAGAGATTGAAACTGGTCCAAGGTTAGAGTCACATCCTTGACAACTTAAAAAAAAAAACTATTAGGAAATTAATATTAGCCTTTTTCATTCTGACTGAAAGAAAATTATTAAAGGATTAGTTGTGCGTGAAATTAAATAGTATTTTGCTTCTGCATACTGAAGAAGTGGGCTGGGGACTTGGCACATTTAACAAGTTCCCTGAAAGGTTTCGATTTGGAGAAAAAAAAGAATTCAGCATTTCCTTTGCGATTCTGATTTCGTCACTTGCTGCATGGATCCGATGGCGTAGGTTAGTGTCTGGTTTGGGAATCCCAATGAAATAACTTTCAAACGATTTGTACCCATGGTTAAAGGTGGAATGAGACCCAATTCCCCCCCAGTCCTTCAGTTTAAGCTCATAAATTGTAGGTGAATGTGGAATGAAATCATCTGTGATATATTATGTTCATTTTCCAAATGAGCTCTTTTGATGTTGCCTGTTTTTATGTAAAACATGTTCTTAAACTAATAAAGTAATATCTCTTGGTGTACACAATGCTCTTCGCTGCTGGGCCAGCTCTTTGGTTTGTGTTGCCATCATGGACTAAAATTTCATTTCTGTTCCATTCAGAATTGACATATCCAGTCCAGGGAGGAATAAGCCAGCTGTGTGCAGGGTGGGGGTGGGGGGGCAGGGTATTCTCTGTCCAAGGCTTTAAAAATTAGTCATGCAGTCAGAATGTAGCTTTCCCACATGTCCGCCGCAGCCCGGTATGTATTTCATGAGCATAATTCAAAAACAACTATTCCAAAAATGTCCCTTTTCATATATTACCTTCTTGGCTGGGCCAGGGACCCGGACAAACACAGAGAAAGCAAATACTGTCCAGCCTCGTTTTATCCTTCAATCTCCATGCGCAAGCTCACCAGAGGAGACTGGTATTTTAATAGCTAACCTGGAATTAGCTGCCATTTTGTTGCCCCGTCCCATTAAGTAGTCTGTGTGCAATCTGGGCCTTAGGAAACATGACAGAGCTGGATGATGGGAGAAAGTTCTTTCTTATTGTGGTTTCAGGGCCAGATTGAAAAAGTCAGCCAGCAAAAGTGACTCCAGGTCCCCTGGTATGACTTTTATAAATGTATTTTTATGAAAATCACTTTTATGATATTTTATGAATATCTCCAAGCTCTTGTAAAATTAGCAGTCACCTTCCCTGCCATCCATGGCTGTTGAAGCACCTGTCTTCCCCTTGGCTCTCAGTAGAGAAGTCATTAGGCTTTTTTTTTTTTTTTTTTTTTTTTTTGACTCCTCTGCCTTCCTAAGAACCATTATCTGGTTTAAGGAGACTGGTGGCCTTGCCAAAAATCTGTCATTCGAAACATAGGAGGAAAGTCTTGGTCACAACTCTGGTGTTGAAGATACTAGGGTAATTGGGAAGGAATAACCTTCCCTGACTACTGGCCACGTGGACTGGGGGTCTGGAAAGGAGGAACGTGTTCCACAGAGAGCAAGCAGTTATGGAAACAGTGGGAAATGGGTGATGAGAAACAGGAATAGCAGCAGCGTGGAATTTTCGCAGGCTTTCCTCTGTCTGAAGAGGTAGCCTGAGCCTGGTCCAGTCTCCTGCAAGAGGGGCCCCTCAGACAAGACGCGGGGCCACACCCAGCCAGCTGGAGCAGCCAGATTCATGCTGGCCATCAGCACTGTGACAGATGTCCAAGGCAGCTTGCCTGCCCTTGAGATCATTCATTCAAGAACTCTTGAGTGAGTGCCAGAGCTATGGGTGACACTTCGTTTAGGCTTAGGGAAAAAAGAAGAACGAAAACAAAAGCATGGCCTGTTTTATTTTTTGCTTTGGGTCAGAAGATTCGGAACACAAGAAAACACACTTGCCATTTCTTGGGATTCTTGGTTCAGCATTCAGATGACCTGTCTACACCTAGCAAGGCCTTGAGTGTTTTACAGCAACTTTGATTCTTGAAAAGGTGTCTCTGCCATCTGCCCTTGTAATGGTACACACACCCCATGGTGCTCTTGGCTCGGCTCCTGGGCTCTGAGGTAGAAAGCATCCCAGAGTTCTCTCTGCCATCTGCAATTAGCATAAGATTCTAACTTCTTATCCTACATTAATACTGTAATGTGCCCATCGATGCAATAAACTTAACCAAGACCTACTGTAAGTGATACATAGTTTAGATGGAAAGAAACTCCACCGCTCCTCCTCATAAGACCTTCATTCTAACAAGAAATTGTCTACTCTTTGGTCTTGGGGAGCTGATTTATCACTCACAGATGGCCAAATACCAACCTGTCAGGGGCACAGCATCCCTACCAACTGGTCACTGGCTCCCAGCATGTGTAGACGGTGCAGGCTGCAGGCAATCCAACCGTCAGTCCCATGTAACTAGATCTGAGATCCACACACTCCGGTATATATTCTTATAAGCAGGGAAAGAAGAGAGATGGGGAAGGAAGCTAAAGCTGGTGACATTAACTGCGAAAGAGATCAAGGTTGCCACTGTCTTAGCTTTGGGTGTGTCACATGGGTAGTTGAAAGGAAGTATCCTCAATGTACTCTTCCAAACCAGTCCCAAGGGATGCTCTGGGTGGGTGTGTGGATTTAAAGTTCTTGGTCCCATCCACATTCTTCATTCAAGAGTATTGTGCCCAGTAATACTTTGACAAGTGAACAGTATGTAATAAGATGCCAGAAATGGCTTTATCGGTGCACCCCCATCGTAAGCCACGTTTCTTCTTCCTGGACTTCCCAGATCCCCTCTAAGGACCCATTCCCAGCAAACACCAAGCAGAAGTTTGGCTTGGGACCCCACATTCCCATCCAGTGTGAGTCATGTACCCTTACTTCCAGTTAAGTCCCTATCACGTGGTCATCCCTGGGGCAACTAAATGTACCATCCACTACCACCTTTCCAGGTTCAAAGAAAGCAGCCATCCGGTGCGATCTCAGATATTATAGCAAAAGCACAAACAGGGCCCTGGGGAATTCCTTTCCAAGACCAATTTAATTGTTGTGAGGCAATCACAGACGGCTTCAGGGAGGGGAGCTTGCTGTTGGTCTGTTTCTGGTCACCAGATATCAGTGTCTGAGTTACAAAGAAAGGAAGATGATCTTGATTGACAGCTCTGGAGAAACTACGGCAAGGAGCCACATTTAGGGATACTCTCTCGTGAATACGGCGCATAGGTGATGTGAAGGGAGGGGCAACGGGGTCAGAACCTGGAAGAGCATGTGCACATGCTCTCTGGACGCTCGGCTTGTAAAGCACCTGGATTCAATCATGAAGGTTTTACTCTAATGACTGTACGCAATTTGAATTACCTTTAAAAGACCCCACCTCCTTCAACTCCCACAAGGCCTCTAATAAGGATTAGGGCTCACACAGTGAAACTTGGGAGTCTGTCCTCAAGCCCCAGCAGAGCCCCGAACCAGAGTCTAAAGACTGGAAGTGGGAAGAAGGCATTGCTAGCCGTGAGAAGAGTGCACCGATAGTCAGAAAGCATGAAAGACCCCGGCAAGGAGATGGAGGCTCAGCTTACCCCCAGAGAGGCAGCGGTCAGCCCCAGAGCTGGGCCTCATCAAACTACCACTATGGTTTTAGGAAAGGACGGGACCAGCCTAACTCACAGCTGTAAGACTGCATGAAAACCAAACAGCCCCATCCCAGCACTGGCCAAGGAGGAGATGGAGCAGGAAAGCTCTTAAGGAAGCCAGCCCAGCTGTCTGGCATATGCTATGCCAGAAATATAGGCAAACATGCCTGTATCTTCCCACTACGTCAGAATTTATTGCATAACAATACATTCATATAAGGTTTAGTATGTTTAATGCCAGCAGTCTGCAGTAAAACCCAACTGACTAGGCAGTCTGACCAAAGTAAATATGGGTTCTTTTAGTCCCATCTTAATTGCTAATATTAACTAACATTAACTAACACTCATAACACACACACACACACACACACACACAGAGAGAGAGAGAGAGAGAGAGAGAGAGAGAGAGAGAGAGAGGTATGTATATGAATACAAGTTAAAGCAGCTGCAACTGAATTCAAGAAGTTCTGAAAGTTGAGGAAAGATCTGCATAGATGCTAATGAACTGGACCCATTGTTGGAAGCTGCTGGTACCAGGTTTGAAGCAGATGCTGGAGAACCCAGAAAAGGCTGGCCTGAGTCTGGAGCAGGAGCAGGAAATGGGTCATGTCTCGGCACAAACAGGTGCATGGGCTTGCTTTCCCTAGATAATCTCAATGAGCCTCTGTGCTTCCATAATCTCAATTCGCTCTTAGTAAATTTACAGGGCAGCTCCCTTTCCAGTCCCACCAATGAGTCACGTATTGGTGTGTGCCGGATGGATGGCGCTGGCAGATGGTACAGTCTCCAGGTCCACCCAGAGGCTCCAGTCAGCCTCCGCCTTCAGAATGGGGGAGGGAGTGCTTGTAAAATGTAGTTTCCCAAGGCAAAGAATAGCCTGGGAAAAGAAAACATGGTTTTATACAACACAGAGTAACTTAGAGCTGACACAGCCTGGTCTCAACACCAGTCTTGAACTGAAATATAAATCTCTCTCTCAGCGATTAGCAGAGGCAGCTTCCCGGGCAAACAAAAGAACCAGCCACATGTAATCCCAGCACAACCAGGAATGCCCTGCTTGCACAGCTCATGGCTCTCATCCTGTGGGGAAAATATCCTCTCCTAGGTTGTTTCTCTTTGCTCTGGAGGAAAAAAAATGGAGAAGGAAGAGAAAGGAGAGAAGTGGAGGAAGAGAAAAGAAAGGAGGGAGAAGAAGAGAAAGATGGAGGGAGGGAGGCGAGGAGGAGATTCGCTGACCCTGAAAACCACTCTCTCCTACCTTCTTCCTAGACACGTCCACATTGTCACCTTTCCTTGATAGCAGGGTGATAATTAATGTTCCACCCAAGAGAGGTTTCGTTTTTCCACCAGAATTACCTATTAATTTGCTAGATTCTTCTGATTAAGCAGTGCGCCTGTCAGCGTGGGCTCGTCATTCCGCACACCCTTTCATTTTCAACAACTAAATCAAGGCCCCACCGAACCCAGACATTTTCAATTTCCTCCCTCGCCGTGTGGATGCTCCCGTGTCTTTTAATAATGTCCTCGAGTCAGCTTCTGTCTCCCTGAGCAAGCTGATTCTGCTTCATAAAAGCTGCTTTTGTTTCCACCTATTCACTTTATAGAGGAAGGCAGCCGTTCGCATCCGTGCCTGGAAACGGAAACCTGAAGATTCCCCGCTTGAGAGGAAGGCCTCGTGGTAACACATGGATATAGCCCCTGTTCAAAGACCTTCTTTCGCCAGGGATTTTCGGGGGTGCTCCTGGAACGCCCACACCTAGGCGTGCGTTTGCGCACAGATGTCACTAGCATGTAGATGTAGCTTAAGCATGCTGCCACACAGAGCCGACTGATGACCACGCCTTTCCTTCTCAATGGATTTGCACAGAAAACATCTGATAAATAAGACCAAGGATGGGGAAGCAACTATTGCTTGTATTCCCAGTTTCCTGAATGCCT